TTGGACCTGTCTGGACCTGTTTGGACCTGTCTGGACCTGTTTGGACCTGTCTGGACCTGTCTGGACCTGTTTGGACCGGAGGTTCTGCTGGTTCTGATCCGTAAGTCTTTCTCCAGACAAGGACAAAAACTAAGACTGAGTCCTCCTCACAGGTTTACAGGTCCTACCAGATCCAACTGGTACCAGAACCAGCAGACAGTCCAGGTTCTGTTCAGAAGCAGCACAGGAGTGTCCACACTGATCAGAACCGGTCCAATCAGGMGTAGAAGATGAGTTCTGGGATCTGGCCCCCCTGGACCCCGGTCCCGTTGGTGCTGTCCGAGGAGCACTGGAACTGGAAGGTGACCTTGCCACACTGGACCTCGGTCATGCCCTCCTGCCCGAAGTAGCTGAGCTCGTTCCCGTCCAGAACCACGCTGGCCGTGTAGAAGGTGTCGGGTTCTATCTGGACCGGGTAGTCGAACCAGACGGGGAAGGTGCTGCTGGACCCGTCTGAGAAGTACTTGATGATCCTCTGGGCCACGGGCACGCCCTGCCGCTTCAGCTCCATCTTGGCGCTGTACTCAGCAGAACCGCAGCTGGACCCGTAGAGTCCGAAGCCCGCAAYGAAGACCCGCCGGTCCACGGCRAACTGGATGCTGTCGCAGCGGCCGCGGTACCGCCACTGGTTGCTGCGGTAGGCGCAGGACTGGAAGCGGTGGCAGCGCTGCGGCGCCAGGCCCGTCCTGGGCCGCGTGCAGAACAGCAGGTCCGGTTTCTTGGAGGCCGTGTACCACAGGAAGATGTCGTTGGTCTCGTTGAGCGTCAGCACGCCGCACTGCGCCGCCCCGTTGGCGAAGTCCTCCAGCGCCATGGTGGGCACCCGGATCAGGTAGATGGCCTTGCCCAGAACCAGCCGCCTGTTCTCCATGCTGGGCGGCAGGTCCCGCCTCTGGCACTCGGCCTCGGCCCAGTTCAGCGCCGCCTCCAGCACCGCCGTCTCCTTGGCGTTGAGCGTCTCGCGCCGCAGGATGCTCTCCAGCGTCTGCGCGTCGATGTCACAGAAGCCCTCGGAGCGCAGCGCCAGCTCGGCCTGCGCGTCGATCACCTCCCAGCAGCGCTGCGTCAGGTCCGGTTCCTCGAACAGGCAGCTCTGAGACAGCAGCACGCAGGCGTTCTTCGCACTCAGGCTCGTCTCCAGGAAGCTGACGCAGGCCCGCGCCAGGTGAGGCACCATGTACTTCTTAGCAGCGTAGAGCGTGGCGAGCACCGTGTCGGCACACAGCTCGATCTCATCGCAGTAGATGTACCTGCAGGGCACAGAGAGCCGGGTCAGACCCGAGTCCTCAGGGTCCTCAGGGCCCTCTCAGGGTCCTCAGGGCCCTCTCAGGGTCCTCAGGGCCCTCAGGGCCCTCAGGGTCCACGCACACAGAACCAGCTCTGCCAGGTGCAGGTCAAGGCAAGTTCAGTTTAAGACCTTTTAATGTCAACTTCAATTTAGACTTTTTAAACTTTAAGTTTAATTTAAAACCAGTTTCACAAAATAAGAACTGACAGAAACTACAGCACAAACATCCTGTCTGCACTTTGAAACTTTATTTAACTTCAGGAAATCCTCTAACAACACAAAATGTGCAGTTTTAGGACCTGGGCTCTTAATCCCAGTTCACTGTACTTAATCCCAGTTCACTGTAGATGAAACCTTAAAGTGCCTGTTTCATTAAGTTTTGTGTTCTGATCCAGAGACTTCTGACTGGTCACTGACTGTGTGTATATCTACAGTATGTATGTATGTGTGTGTGTG